GTTAACTCTGCCGGGATGCCAGGCATTTCATCAGTAGTCCATGCGAACACATCTTGATTGGCCCTCAAGAACTCCAGAAGCTCTGCTCGTTCTTCTTCTGTGAGTTTGGTGCCGATCTTCACTGTTCTCTCCGGCACATCCGGGTTTAACGGCACCGTTTCCACTGGCTCTACTGGCTCTGCCTTCTGCTCGACACTCTCAGGTCGATGCTCAATGTCTGATATACTCATTGTCTGCTGAGCGAGCTGGGTGGGCTTGCGACCTTCAGCACTTGCCGGGGTTGCTGCGAGCTCGACCTTCTTGAACGTGTCTTGATAACAGGCTCTAGCCATCTTTTGATTCCCTTTCAGCACTCCTACCCCTTGGGGAGTAGGGAACTTCATACAGAGGTGGGGCTGTGAGATAACAGCCTTCAGCTCGCACAGGGTGGCTCTTCCTAATATAGCATTGAAGGCTGACTCCATCTTAACAACCAGGAAGGTGACAGAAGCCATCCTGAAGCGCGGCTCTGATCCCACATATATAGGAAGAGTAATAACTCCCTCAACCGGGACGGGCTGGTTGTCGAACCCATATATAGGGCCTTCATGTCTCTGCAGCAAGCTCGGATTTAGCTGCATCTTCTGGAAGCAACCCCAATATAGGATATCTGGCGAACTGCCAGTGTCAATAAACACCTTATTGACATTATGATTGCCTATATGAACTGTTGCCACAAAGGGATCCGCATGGGGCATCATAATGTCGGGCTCTCCTTCTGCTCGCTTGTAATCTGCCGGGTTGAATGTAATGGGTGTATTTTCCCATTCTGCTTCCTCGAACGGCCGTTTCAATGGTCTGTTTTTGTTGACGGTCATCACCTGACGGGCATATGCCTTGCGAGCTCGGGCGCTTTGGCCCCCTGAGTGAACACCACCCGATATCATGTTTATTGTACCAGAAGGCGGGGGTATCCCAGCATAACCTACCCCTTTCTTGTCTTTTTGATTCGGAGCGGTAGTTCTCGGTCCCTGCCCTCTCCTGTTGAAAGGACGTCCTCGGTAGACTCTGCTCTGTTCAGTAGGATACTGGTTATCCTGATATGCATCCTGTGTCCCATCATGCTGGTACCTCTGTCCTTGAGGTCGGTTGTACGCCTGCACAAAATGAGTTTAAGTAGGTTGCTGGGTGTGAGGCTTCTGAACATACCCTTCTAGCTTCCCGTTACGAGCCAAAAACTCTAACTCATCCTTCAAATGTTGGCAGTCCTCTGTATTGTGACCATATACACGGTGGTAGTCACAGTGCTTGCTCTTATCTGCCCTCGGGGAATCATGCAACGGGGGTGGAGGCCTCCTAACCCAGTGCTGAATTTGTGCCAGGATTTGAGACCTAGGTAGGGTCAAAGGAATGTAACTAGCGTATTTCGGGAACTCAGCTGGTTTCCCCCATTGCTCACCGACCTTCTGCTTCTTCTTCTCTTCTCTTCTAGGTGGTTGTTCCTGACCTCTGTTCGGCTTATCATTAGCTCGTCGCTTGGACGACTGAAAGTCCTCTGACAGTATGAAGCTGGCTGACCTGTCATTCACTTCGTTCCACGTCTTCGGTGGATTCTCTAGCAGGTCGTCTAGGAACCGGCCACGCTTCAACCCATGTAGCAGGGCAGACAAGCAGATCGTATCTGGGATATTATCAATGTCCAGTGTGGCTTTGTTGAACCGCTGCATGTAATCCCTCAAAGACTCCCCTTCCTTCTAGTTAACCTGCATCAGCTCAGTTGCTGTGCGCTTGATCTCCCTTTGGCTCGCAAATTTGTTAGAAAATAGCTTGGCGAGCTGGGAAAAAGAATCTATTGAATGTCTGGGAAGTTTGTGATACCATCTTCTGGCCGTTGATTTCAGGGTTGCCGGGAACACTTTGCACATCATGGCATCATTGGCGTTTTGAATCCTCATGATAGCTTGATAGGTGTGTAGATGTTCATCCGGGTCTTTCGTGCCATCATATGTCTCTAGGTGGGGGATTTTGAATCCCTCTTGGTATGGTTCTGCTGTGATGGATAGGTTCAGCGGAGCACTATCCAAATCCAAGGTCAATTGGTGCGACCTGGGGCTTTTCAGCTCGTCGATGGATTTCTGTACATCCCGCAGTTGCTTTTCAAGGTCTGCATTCTTTCTCATCAATTCTTCACTGTATTTGGACGAGCTGGGCTCGATATTCAACTTCCCACTTCCCCTCGGCCTGGTCGGCACTACTATATTGCTTAGAGCGGGGGAGTTTCTAGTCGCAACAACCGCAGCTGGTTGTGCATCCTTGTTCAGCAAAGGAATCAGGGGGTCATCAGGGATTAAGCGGGCAAGGATTCTTCCCATTGCCATTTCGAGAACTCTGGTTCTCTCTTCGAGCTTGGTTGTCCGAGCAGGTTCTGTTGACCTTTCAGGTCGTTCACGCTGTGAATTGTTCGGTCTGGCAGATCTTTGCCTCGTTCCTGTTGGAGCTTGGAACTGTTCAGGCTGGGTTGCATACCCAGTTTGTGTTCTTTCATCATCCGTTTCACTTAGGTGATCCTGTTCGGCTCCTCCTACAAAGAGATTTCTTGGCATCGGCCTAAAGTCATTCAAGCCGGCCTCAGATATGTGATCGTCCTCCTGTTCGTCTA